GCCATTTGAATTAAGAAAAAACTGAATTTTTATTTATGACGTTATTACTTTTTATACTCGTTTGAAGGTATCTCGCTTATCTTGATTGATTGTCTCCCACCTGTGAGTATGTTATAGCTAAATCAATTCTCTTTCGGACGTGTCCATTTATTTTTCATTTTGATCACGTTAGCATCGTCAAAAAGAATGAATTTTTAGAGCATTCTTATCTCTCATTTTTAAAAGATGTAAAAAGAGAACATAGCGAGGGCGGCAGACTGTATTTGGACGCTATCAGACTTTAATATACAGTATAGGTTATATGAAGGGAAAATTTGTGTGGCAATAATAACTAACAAAAACACGACAATATTTAATTTCGTGTGCCATTACTGTACACGCACACAACGTGACGTGCGCGTATTTTTAAATTTCAAAATTCTCAATATCACTATTCAGATAATTTAAATGTTTCGGGTCATTTTCTGCATTCCAAAACTTTCCATAATTTACGCGCCGTACGCTCATTTCCACGCCCACAGCACGTACTGAAGCTGGAAATTATGTTCCGGTTACATGTTTTGGATTTGTGACACTGTATTAATAACATTACCATGCGCACGGACGTAAAGACGTATGTGTACACATTCGTAAGTCCTTAAAATGCTCAAAATTACTCTTTTCCTTTAAAATTCCTTTTAAAATGCTCAAAATTACTCCTTAAATAGAGCATGTTTTAGCATATAATACTTTTCAATCAGAACCGCGCGTACTTTGTGAGGGTCGATCCGTGGATGAAAGTGGGGGGACGAGATGAAAAATAAAGCCTTGGGCCGTAGGCCAAAGCAATGGTTGGGGACCAGGGGGCGAAGCCCCGGAAGCTCTGGCGCATATAGCCTTTTAATTGATTTTAAGCAATCCAATTAACATTTATTTCCATACGAAATTTTTAAAATATCCAGTGGTGGATCCAGTAATTTGAAATAGAGCTGGGCCCAGAAAATTTATGATTATGACACCTCTAGATTGCCGGAAATGGCACTCTCAGACCTAAATTCTAATTCTAATTTTCCTTTTTTTTTTTTTTCCATTTTTAAAAAATAATTTTGAAAAAATTAGGGCCGGCTCGGCCCTACTTGAATCTGCCACTGATTATTATGGCGTCATTGCGAGACTGCGTCAACGTAACACTGGAGTTTGTAAACTTTTGGTAGGCTTATCACTTAATCGAAATAGGTAGATATCATATCCGTGAAATTAGAAAAAACAGTAATCCTATGTATGTAGATAATATTAAACACTAGTATATACGTACGGGTCATAATAATATGCAAAAAGATTAAATCGTTTATATTAGAAATTGTGCACTTTTGAGTTTGTAAAAATATTGGCCTAATAAGGATACATGCTTCCAATTTCAACAACGTTTAGTACATTGTTTTCACAATAAATTTAGCCTCTGATAGTCGTTGCACCCATAAAATCGATCTAGTGGGTTTCTGAGATGGTTACAAAATGTTTAAACAATTGTGTTTTTACTTGGTTTTGGTGCGGAAAATACGTACCGCACTTAGAAAAGTGAACAGACAAAATTCATGAGTCATGCGTAATTGTTATTCTTTCCATTCGCTTGTAAAAGTGGGGTTTTAATTATAGAAGATTGGTGAAAAGTGGGGGGGGGGACAATCGATACCATGTTCCCCCCCCCCCCCACTTTGAAAAGTAGGCAAAAGCAGCTTTCTTAGCTACTTTTTTTGTCCGCTGATCGGTTAAAAAACGTATTTCATTTTTATTTTATCACTGAAAAACAACTACTGTAAAATGTTTAGCCCATAAATATGATGTGTACCCTCTAAATCCGCCCCTGCATAGATTACGTGTCTGAAATTGATTTTAAAGGCGAAGTTGTGACTCAACTGGTTCAACCTCCCATTACACAGCTCCACATAGTGGTGGAATTTAGAAGGCGATGTAGTTTAAATTTAATGAAATATGCCCAATTCTTTTAAATACAGTATCATCTGAAATTACATTCGTTGGTTTTATAATATAAATCAATACAATTTATATTTTTAAAATGACGTTCCTTTACTACAATCTTTATAATCAATATCTGGATGAACAAAATTTGAATCCTTCATGGGAAATCTATTAGTTAAATAAAGCTTAGGGTTCTGTTTATAATTGTTTTCAATTGATAAATGTAATGTTTGATAACTGTATCTGTTTGGAGGTATATTATAATATATATATTTTTTTTTTTTTTTGAATGATTACTTCTCACATTTTAAGAAAGCCTTTAATTACGAAACAAATATAGAACTAAAATTATAGCTTTCTAAACTCTTCCCCTAAGACATCTCTAAATTCATCAGGTGGAGGATTTATACTACCTCAGCCCCACGATGGTTAGGGCAGAGGTAAGAAGAAAATTTGCCATTATGGCACATCCAAATGGCTTCAAATTGCACTTTCAGACATAAAATTTGAATTTAATTTTCTTTAAATCTCCATTTTGTTTCTTAAAAATTGAACAATTTCCGGGCCGACTGGTACCCCTTGAATCCGCCACTGGGTACTTATGCAGATGGGGGATCTATACCACCTCAGCCCCACCATGGTTGGGGAGAAAATTTATGATTATGGCATCTCTAGATGGCCGGAAATTGCACTCTCAGACTTAAAATTTGAATAGAATTTTCCTAAAATCTATCTCCATGAAAAAAAATGAACAATTTAGGCCCCCCTCCCCCTCTTGAATCCACCTCTGATTTTCGAACAAAGTCAAAATCAAGAATGCTTTCACGATCTCAATGAATTATTTATCATGAGGGCTATACTTGATATGGGTATTCCCCGATGAAACCTTCACTTTTCCCCCGATGGATAAAAATTACCTGGAAATGATACTCCAACTGTGGCAGGTCCAGGAAGTCAAAACAGAGGGGACCCATGGAGGGTCTTGCTCAAATGGAATGTCCACCCACCTTAGCCCCACAACGGTTGGGGCTGAGGTAAGAAAACAAAATGATTATGACACCTCTAGATGACTGGAACTGGCACTCATATTAAAAGTTGAATACAATTTTGTCTGTTTTCTCCATTTTTAAAAAATAATTTTGAAAAAATTAGGAGGTTGGGGGCCCGTGCTGACTGGGCTCTCCTATGAACCCGCCACTGTTCAATATAACATTTGACATAGCTTATTTTGTTTCACAAATGACTAATTCCTAATGTCAAGCAAAAGATTTTTTTATTCGAAAGATTTTTTTTATTCAATAGAGTTTTTACAACCTATAACACATTAACTGCAGTGTACTGTACATTTTGTAGTTAACCTTCAGAGAACTTTATTTTTTAAAATGACCTAATTAAGTATCTTATTGTTTTCGATATATTAAAAAAAAAAAGAAAAAAGAAGAGTGCCTACCTCCACCCTATGCCTATACAGAATACATGAAGGCTGGCGATTCCATTCTTTTCTTCATGCTCGAGGGTGGGTTTCAGGGAAACTTTACAGACGTCAATCAACATTTTTTATTGCTCAACTCAAAAAGGGAACTTTTAATGTTTGTTAGCAAAAAATCTATATATTATAATATATATAGGTCAATTTATAAACAAGTTCTCTGGTGTACGCGCGCATAGAAGATACGAATCCTTGTGCGCGTTTTTGTCGACATAGAGCGAAAATAGGCTAAAATCATGCCTATTTTCAATCAGTTATAGCTCCTTAGGATGAAAGGTGACCCCCCCAATTTTTATAACATTTTCTGAAAGCACATAAATTGTAAATATGATTTTATAGATCATAATGGCTGATCGGAAATTGTGATGTCATCATATTTGCATCTGAATTCATTTTTGAAAATACGCATTTGAGCGTATCTCGCTTATCCTTGATCGATCCCGGGTCATGAGTAAACTGTTTGTGCCATTAACATGTGCACAGGCGTCAAGACGTCCGTGTGTGCCCGCGTAAATCTTTTCAATTGTTTAATATTACAATTTTTAAAAAACTAACTAGAGCATATTTTAGACCATTTTTGAGCATTTAAAAACATTTCGGCGGATCACTAAACTCGTCCTCAGTGACGAGTTCAAATCTAGTTAGTTTTTTTTTTTTTAATTAATATTGTCTGTTGTTATTATCTCGTTTTTCTTTTTTAATATTGTTTGTTATTGATGTTGGCTATGCTGTAATAATAATAATAATTATTATTATTTTTATTATTATTTATTGTTATTACTATTATTGGCTCTCGAGCGGATCACCTCTTGTTATTGTACTGTCTCATCTGTTTTTCTTATTCTTCATTCTTTCTCCGTATTTTTGTTCGATATCTCAAAAAATGCCACAAGTTACGCAAAACCGCTGTCAACGAACATTTGGCTTGGTCTGGAATAGTCATGGTCAGCTTTTCAACGCACTCAGTCATGCGTGACATCATCTACGCGCAATTTTGCGTTTTTACATTATCAGTCATATCAGCCTAACCAATTGCCATTTCGAAATCGTATTTAGTGCGCATTAACTTCGGGTTAATGTTCAATGTACTGTACCTTAATTTTATGTGTGCGCTTCATTACGCACAAATTTTTAAAAAGCTCAAAATCACTTTTTGACTAAATTAGAGCACGTTTCAGGCCATTTTGAGCATTTCAAAATTTTTTGAAATTTTCCAATACGCGCGCACATTTTTACGCGCGCAGCACGTACGGAAGCTAAACATTATGTTTTTTCACATAGTTTGGGTTCCTAACATTGTTTTCACAAATTTCCATTCTTTTTGGTCATCTTATGGCCAATAGCAATGCCGTACGTGCGCATCAAATATAGGTATCTTAAAAAACGAACCATGGGCGAAGAGCGACTGGAACCAGCGCCTATGTTCATGTTGTAGCTAGTGACGCCCCTGCCTTACCGCATGACGACTCACCCGGACGATACATTTATATAGTGATTTTTTCATTGCGACAAATGCTGGTCTGGCCTAACTAATTTGATCAATTAACTCTGCAGATTCAGTTGTAGCTCTTGGGATTGAAGATGGAACTATCCACTCCGACCAGCTGACAGCATCCAGTGAATACTTGACCAGCAAAAGTCTTGGGGCTGATCGAGGACGACTCAACACAGTATCAGATGCAGGAGGCTATGGAGCCTGGGTAGCAGCAACTAATGACCCAGATCAGTGGATTCAAGCCGATCTCGGTTCAGTGAAACGCGTAGTTGGAGTAATAACACAAGGGCGAAGTGATGGGAATCAATGGGTTAAAACATACAAAGTTACTTCCAGTACCAATGGTAGCATTTTCGCACCAGTATTGGGATCGAGTGGTCAAGTTGAGGTATGTTGTTATGATCAATTTATATAAGACATTACGACGAGTATCATGAAATGCGGAAATGTGTGTTTATCATAATGCCACTACTTTTAGATTTTTAGTGCAAACTCAGATCGAAACACCGAGGTGAGAAACATATTCAACTCTGTTGTCTACGCTCAATTCATCCGTATCAATCCAATTACCTGGTATAGACACATCAGTTTAAGATTTGAGCTTCTTGGCACAGGTAAACCTTATCTAAGCATGCATTTATTGTAGTAAGTTAAGATAATGTAATAATACACATTTCAACTATATCATCTAAAGTCTGACAGGATCCGTGTTAATTAACAACAAAAACATGTACCACAAATATTTTATTGTTACATTCGTCTCTAAATACGGTTTTTTAAGTGGTCATTATGTATGTTGGAATTTTCTATTTTTTATTTATCAAATTATAATTAGTTATATATTTATTATTTTTAAAATTAATATTGTCTGTTGTTATTACCTCGTTGTTTTTCTTTTTTAATATTGTTTGTTATTGATGTTGGCCATGCTGTAATAATAATAATAATAATAATAATAATAATTATTATTATTATTATTTATTGTTATTACTATTATTCTTTATATTATTATTGTTTAAATATTATTATTATTATTAAAACTATTAATATTATTTTAAAACTACTACTACTACTATTATTATTATTATTATTATTATTGTTGTTGTTGTTTAATCATATTAATATTATCAACACCACCTCATATCCAACCACCATCCCATCATTCTTATCAATACCATCATCCTCTTCACAACCTACACTGTCACCGTCATTGTCATTGTGTAAATATATATATATACATATATACAGTAGAACCTCGTTTTTACGTACCCCAGTTATACGAAGTCTCGGTTTTACGTACGCCTCGTATCGACGATGACGTCATCAAAAACCCCGAAAATATTCAAAACAGACGGCCCTTTTCAGAGCAACCATAAGTAAAAGACTATAACAATAAACTATAACAATAAACAAGCCATAATGCAACATATTTTCATTAAAGAGCAACATTGATTGAGTCTAATACATATGGGGTGCCATACGCAGCAAAAGTCCATGTTAAAATCAAAATGTAATTGCAAAATTCAATGTCTAATTTATCAAAACGTAGGCGTAAATTTCTCAAAATGTAGATCTAGTTTCCCAAAATGAAGTTCTAATTTTTCAAAATGTATTTCTAATTTCTTTAAAATGTAATTCAAATTCAAAACGTAGTGTTAAATATCGGTTAGTTGTTGGTGACTTTGAATAAGTAGTATGACACAGTTCCTTTTAGTTCACTGCAAACTTTTATTAACACAAACTGTATGTTGGTTACAATTAGCTAAACTCCAGGTTTCAGATGTTAGAGAACCCTTTTAGAGTGGAGTCAGCTCAGCCCTGTACTTTTCTTCTGTGTTGAATCTAACTACTGACTACTGATTACTACATGACTACTCACTACTAACTACTGATCACTGACTACTGGTTACTGACTGATTGCTGATTCAGTGATATGGGGTGTTTGCCTATTATACTTTAGATAATGGGGGTGTGTCTCAAGTAAGTCACCTCATACTTTTAGAGTTTCTGATTGGATCATAGAGAAATTCTTTCTCTATGATTTAGTAACTTGTTTACCAAAAAACTGTTAATTAAGATGTATCACAAACTTCAGAGCTTAGGCTCAAAACTGACAATCATAGATTCATAGTGCGAGAAAGGCCAAGTCCAACTGACTAGGGTAAAGTTATACAAAGTCCAGTTATATTATTAGATTATCTGTATACTCAAGTTGACCATTAAAACTGTCAATCCAATTTAAGGGCATTTATCAGGTGAAGGGTATCGATTCCAATGGTTATGCAAGTTAATACCATTGAACCTTAATACTACATTACATCCCTTTTAATTTATTTTTTTTTAACATCATAACATAAGGTAAAATGTACTACAATGTGTAGTAGGCATAAAGCAATATAACAATTCATTTAAAAAAAATTAAATCGTTAAACATAAAAAATCAGAGCATATAATACAAGTGGTGCAAGATGAATACGTGTCAATTTCCATCATTTACTCATATTCACTCTCTCTTTCTCTCCATTCTTTTCTTAAAAAATACAAATGAATAACATTTTTAATTTTCGAGGTTAATCAATCTAATACGGTTTTTTGTTTTGCCATGTGTCATTTAACATTAGATTGTATTTAAACGTCTGGTCTTGCCATATCCGACGTAATGTAACTTTATGAGGAGGAACTTAAATTAACTTTTATTTAACTTAACATTATTTACTTACTTATTTCCTAAAAAAATCAATTGCTTCTATTACACGTAGACTTGAATTCATCTAGTCGTGTTTACTAGCAATACACATATGCACTTTAACTCGTTATCGTTTAATGTCATCACGTATTTCATATAAATTATTTATTAGTATACCTTTGTCATACATTCATCCTAAGCATTTCATTACAAGTAAAATTATGTAAATTTGGATTATTTGTACTCATATGTACTTATATTCAGTATTCATTTAAACTGACGAATTTATCTTCATATTACATATCCTTCATTAAACTTGCATGGCATTAACAACTCAACAAGTAATAAAGCTTGTTCATTTAGTGTTGCAATATAAGCTTGGATTATTCAATAATTCATTAATCGCTTTACTACATTTAAATCATAAACAAAATTGTTGTATTCCTCATCATAAAATTATAAACTCAATTTAAATCATTAGAAAACATGTCAATATAATTCGTACTTAAATCATTACGCTGTGTACACAATATAATTTCAAGTTCTCAATATTTAAATTCAATATTCGTATCAATTTCAAGATTTCAGTATAATTCCATGTTTACAAGATAAATTAAATTTGGCAATAAGTAAATAAAATTCAACGTTCTCGAATTTTGAAGTGCGTTTAAGAGTGGTCCAATTAGTAAGTGAACGGTTATCATCGCAATTTATAATCGAATAATTTTCCTCTACAAGTTCAAGTCACATCAATTAAACATCTTATAATTTTAAAAACTTCTGGCCAGTAAATTAATTAAATTATTCAATGGATTTATTTATATCAATTATCTTTTTAGCTTTAATAACCTCAAAAATTGCCTGGCTATGTGCAATTGAAATTGGTTATACAAATTGGTATACATGTGCGATTCTGCAAAATCAACAGTCCGTTAACCTAATCTGTGCTGAATAATTGCTATAGTATTGATGTTTATACTTGCGTTTTGATATCTAAATCAATCAGGTATCGATAAAAAAATGTGCTTGTATTATTGTTTAACATTTTGCTATTTTGACCTTAACTTAATTGTTTGAAAAAAAAAATTGCGCACTACAAAAAAAACGTGGTTGATGTAATAAAATCAAATTAATAAAAAAAAAAAAAATTATTAAATTAAAACCAATTTTTAATGAGGGATAAAAATATAAACAAACTCTTCCTCACAATGATGGAATTTAACAATGTATTCAACTTACCCATTTACTTCATTCTTGATAAACAAAATGCAAATTCCAAGCAAACAAAAGTTCAGTAAAGAAATGAAATTTAAGGGAAATTAAATGTTCGAAGTTTACGTTGGCTAAAGTTCAAAAGTTAGAGCGTTTTTCATCGTCATGGGGTGAAGTCCAATTGAAGTCGGCTTGTCTCGAATCCTAATAACTTTCGGTCATCTGTCGGCTTGTCTCAAATCCTATAATAAGTTTGTCATCTTTCGGCTTGTCTCGAATCCTAAAAAGTTTGTCATCTGTCGGCTTGACTCGAATCCTATTTTGTGTCTGTTTCGTTTGTTACGTTGTAGGATTTCGGCTGCTAATTGCAGATATGCATGCAATATGTGATCTGCTTGTAGTTGTTGCGGTATTTGAAGAAAACGTTTATTCATTTCCAAGATTCATGTCATTTAGAAAGGACAATCTATCTGCTTAACCGCAATTCGGGTATCTTTTAGTGCGTCCTCAATTGTTTGGCGATATGTGCTCAGCTTTGGAGAGGAGGTACCGTGAAATCAATGATTAGGGTCTTCCACCATGTTAAATATCGGTTTAGTTGGTGATGGCTTTTTAATGAGTAGTAGGCACAGTTCCTTTTAGTTCACTGCAAACTTTTATTCTCACAAACTGTACGTTGGTTACAATTAGCTAAACTCCAGGTTTCAGATGTTAGAGAAGCCTTTTAGAGTGGAGTCAGCTCAGCCCTGTACTTTTCTTCTGTGTTGAATCTAACTACTGACTACTGATTACTACATGACTACTCACTACTAACTACTGATCACTGACTACTGGTTACTGGTTACTGACTGATTGCTGATTCAGTGATATGGGGTGTTTGCCTATTATACTTTAGATAATGGGGGTGTGTCTCAAGTAAGTCACCTCATACTTTTAGAGTTTCTGATTGGATCATAGAGAAATTCTTTCTCTATGATTTAGTAACTTGTTTACCAAAAAACT